AAACCAGAGACCTCCTCTTCACTTCCTTGCCTTGGTTCTTGCTTTAACTTTAAGTAACCACACACTTATGATGCCAAAGTGAAAAATATGAGTCTCCAAGGGTTGCTAATGGTCTTGTTAGTTGATATATACCATTTGTGAGGTGTATAGATGATCACAACCTCAAGGAAAAGCTTGAAACACTATTTGGTGGTTTTTGTAGCTTTTGGTCAAACTAAGCTAGGTAGGAAATTGACTTTTTGATTTCTTGTGATTTTTGGTGGTTCAATGGTTTGTACACCTTATATATGTTATTTATAAAGTGTATGGATGATAGTTTGGGTGCTGGAACATGTAGAACTTGATGTGGTGGAGATTTCACTTCAAGGCCATTTTTGAGTGTTTTGGTGAACTTTGTGATTTTTGAGAAATTGAAGCAAGATGATGGAATTGTGATGACAGGGGTTATTTGTGGTTTCTATCTGAAAAGATGATCTTTGAAATGAGGTGAGGGAGCCCTCCTTTTATAGAGAAAATGATTGAGGTGCTTGCTAGGAAGTCTTGCTTAACCATGAAGCAAACTTGATATTTTCAACCACTTGCCAACTTGCCTTGCTTTTTCTGATCTTTGGCTGTCTCTTTAACCCAATGGGCAAGTTTAAATGATGTTTCTACTGATAAATTTCAGCCTAGGTGCTTGGTAGAGTGGCTGGAGCAGAATCACTTTCCACCTCATGCTTGTAAAAGTCAAAAATGACAACTTAGGCAATGAACTTCCAATCTTTAATTCTATGCTATCTCCATGCAATTTCTTTGCTTCAACTTGCTTGAGATGTTCAATATATCAGATAGTATGAGTTTGAAAAGTTAGAATTGGCCCACTTGAGTGATAGAGGTGCTTTTGCAAAATTGGTCAATGTGGGACTAGTATGACAAAATACCAACTTTGAACACATGTATCTCTCAGCTCATAACTCACCTTGAGATGTTCTTGTACAATTTAGAAAGCCCTCACATAGTACTAAAACTTTCATGTTGTCCAGAAATCTTGATTCTATTTGAAACTAGGTGAAAAACCCCCTTGAAGTTGGCTGATTTTAGCTTTTAAAGTGAAAATAACTTAGAAATTTTCTGTTATTTTCCCTTCTAGGAATGTTTTTGCTTATATCTCAAAAAGTATGCATTTCCTGGTTGTGGACTAGTATGGGACTTTTGTAGGTCTTGTCAAGAGATTTCAAATGAGACTAGAACCAACTCAATTGGATGTGTGGTTAAGGAGATACGGTTTAGCCCTTTTCAAAACCCTAATTTCCCGATTTCTCGATTACTCTCTCATTCTTGATCCAATGATCATGAAAATTGATATGCAAGTCCATTATGACATAAGGAACAACTTTGATTCACAACTTGGATTCCAATTCTCAAAATTTGGGGAGTTGACTTTTCAGTCAACCGTACAATCGATCGGTGCCGATTGAGTCACCCGTTGATATTCTGGACATCCTGAGACTTTGATACTTCTTGAATAGTCTTTAATAGTCTATATGAACTTCATGGACCTCAATCCCACCATTAAAACATCTTCCAACATCAAAGTCAAACCACAGTTGACTTTCCACTAGTTAAAAACCCTAATCGGGGCCTCCTGACTGCACTGTTCTTGATTCTGAAATGATTTCTTCAAATTGACTTCCCATTTGACTTTGATATTATCTTTGATTTCATTCCATGATTGAATTGGCCCAACTCATTGGTTGATCATTCCTTGATTGTTTTGAATTTGTCGGTGCGAAAACCCTGATTCATCTGTAACTTGACAATAATAAACTTGCACTGATTTAGGGTTATATAATTCATGATCATGCTTCTAAAAATGATAATGAGGATCTAAGGGGTCAAAATTTGGGGTACAACAGCTAACAACCTAGCAATATTAACTAATGCATGTTAGAACAAACTTCGACTACAACACGCATTACTCCGACAGCAGCATGCAAACAGACTTCGACCTCATGCTTAATTCCTGTCGAACCAGAAACTACCCTTCAACCATACTAGAGTTCGATCCAACATCTCACAGTACCAGATTTTCTTGAAGGTTCTCCTTTCAACCTCCTACTTTCCACCCTTGAGCTAACTCTCATGCTTCCTCCCTTGAGGACTCCCTTCTGCCTATTGAATCTAGGAATGTTTGCATGGTTTTTCTTGTCATCAATACAAATGTTATCTAGTTTAATCGCTAGAACCCAAACGTCTTCAACTCCCAAAAATCTAGAAAAACCAAAAAAAAATTCCAATTTTGTTTCCCTTTGGGGGTATAACAACTTCTTTCAGGTTGCCATAAGAGCCAAAGAAATGAGAAATCGGGAACTCTAGTCGAAATGCTATCTACCGCTTCCACTTCACCACTTCTTTCTGCCGAGTACGGGTCTCATTTTAAAACAAGAGCTTTCCTGGAACCTATTCTAAAAACTCTTTGCCACTCCATGAAGACAACGATGATGATTCATAACAGAAGTAAAGAAATGAATTTTTGGGTTTGAAAAGAAAATACTACATTTATAAACCCGACAAGACAAATAATAATAAAGACAAAGCACATGTTGGAACGATTAAACCATATTGTATATATTAGATATAATTTTTATTGAATTTATCGTCATACTAGCGTCCAGACGGGCACTCGCGTGCCCGTCTGTCCGCTTTTCTAATGCACACATGTAAAAATTTAAATGATATTTTTTATATAGTATTAATTTTTAAAGAAAGTTATATAGGAAGTTAATAATAGAAAGTTTGATAGGAAATTAATAGTGAGAAGTTATGTGAAAGATGGTAGTAGTAGTTTGAATAGAAGTTATTGTGTAAAGTAAGGGTAAGATTGGTAGAAAAATAGGCTACACCAAAACACCATATTTTGCCTTTATATATAGATATTAAATAAATGTTTTTAACACAAAAATAATAAGCACGGATACATTTTGAAATGGAAATAGAATGATTATATTTTTTATCTACAAAGTAACTGTGTAAAAATAGATTTATATGATTTTTTTTTCAATTTTAAAATCTTATTTCAAACCCAATTTCTTTTACAATTTAAAATGGAAAAATATTGAAAAGATTACACTGTTATTTTAAAAATAAATGATAGTATTTTCCAAACAAATATTATATAAAAAAAGCATTTATAATTTTATAAATATATTTGTTAATGTTACCAAAAGGAAAATTATAATAAAAAGGAAAAAAAACATAAAAAAATAAATATGCATATTATGAGGCGTTGCTTTTTTAATAAGTAAAACATATATATCAACAGAAGTATTAGGAGTACCCCAACCCATTTATATACATCATCCACTAAATTCCCAACCCATTTATATACATCATCCACTAAATTTTACATCAAGAGCAAAGATATTAAAAACAAAGTCAAGGATTTCTACGCCATTCATAATAGCTATACAAACTATTTAACTTGCTACTTTTGATAATCCACCACCAAGATAAACGCAAAATCCTCAGAAGAACACACTCCGAAACACTAATTTCATCGTTAAAAAAGATTTGATTCTTCGACCACCAACTACATCAACATACAATGAACCACAAACTTTCCGCGTACGGTGACAAAATCTTCCCCTTTACTTTCTCAATTCAAACCTGCAGATGACAGTCAAAAGAAGATTCCGCAAAAGTAGTCAACTCAAACCACCAACATACTTTAATCTAAATTAACTTAGTTTTGATAAAATTAAAGAAGAGATGAGAAGAGTTTTTCGAATCAGAAAAGCAGAACATACAAACCTGTTTGTACACATTAAGATTCAAACCTCGTTTCACAAGATTCATCCTTGCTGGTAATTTGTCCAGAAACAAACGCCACGCAAAAACTTGAACCTTCGTCGGGATCATCGCCTTCCAAATCCGTGACAACAGATCCTTATTGATTGCATTCACACGCACACTATCAGACTAGGCATGGCAAAAAAATCCGGACCCGCCCCGAAATTAGCGGGGAAAACCCGACTTTTAATTACGGGTGCGGAGAGACACTAAGACCCGCCCGCACTCGGTCCCGCCCTCGGATAATGCATTTTAGTTTAATTCTCTTATTTTACTTATTTTAATATTTATTTATTAATTATATTTTTAATTAAATTATTAATACCTTTATTGCAATTAAAATAATTAAATTAATCAAATTAATATTCATTTACTAATTAAAAATTTAATTAAATAAATAAATAATTTATTAAAATAATCAATTTTTTAATTAAATTATTAATTTTTATTGCAATTAAAAAGAAATTAACTTTTTTCGAGTGGGGGCGGGGCGGGTGCGGGTGCACCTGTTCTCTACTGGGGGCGGGTCTGGACGGTAAATTTGTACCCCCGATTGAGTTTGGGGGCGGGGGCGGGTGTGTTACATGGAGACGGGTGAGGGTGCGGATATAGTAAAACCCGCCCCGACCCGCCCCGTTGCCATCCCTATATCAGACATATACAACATCTGATCATAGCATGATTTGACCGTATATGTTTTTGACGCGCTGAAAGGCCACCTAATGCAGTCCGTAGCCTCTTTGCAAGGTTTTATTCCAACCAGCAGCACCTGCAAGCGCTGGAGATCATGCCGCAGAGATAAATCTTCATTATCAACATTTAATCCCAATTGTCATACCTAATTGCCTTCCATCCACACCCTCAAAATCTGACACAACAACATATTTATTATCTGTACCATTCCATAAAGCCGGAAACTCGCAGCAAAGAGGGGAATTTCCCAGCCACCTAGCCAACCAAAATAACATAGTTTCACCACCACCCAACCTATAAGAGAGTAAACTTGCAATATCAATATTTCTGGCCAGCCTGCATACATAAATTAAGTCCTGCCACCACAAAGATGACGTAGATCTTGTACATGAGTAAGAGTTATCATAAATAGAATTTTCTAGCTTCCCATATCTTCCTTCAAGCAACCCAAGCCAAAGCGCCTGTCTATCGGTTAGGAATCACCACCACCATTTTTCTAACAAAGCCTTGTTAAACATTCCCAAATCTTTGACCCCCAAACCACCCTCCTCCTTCGATTTACAAATTGTTTTCCAACTAACCCACGCGATGTAACTTTTGCCTTTCAACCATGCCCATAAAAACTTCCTCCGCAAAGAAACCAGCACATGCAGAAATTTCTTTGGCAATGTGTAGAATGAGAGGAAATATACAGGAAGGTTAAATAATACCAAATTTATAAGAGCTATGCGACCTCCGGTCGAAAGCCATCTTCCCTTCCATGAGGAAAGCTTTGTCTTCAAGCATTTAACCACCGGATCCCAAAAGAAAATACGCCTATGATTACCTCCCACAGTTAAACTAAGGAATTTAAACGAAAGTCCGTCTAATCTACATCCAATGAAATGTTCTGCTGCTTTCATAAAATAATCATCCGTCATGATACCAAATAGAGAACTATTTCTTATATTAATCTTCAAACCTAAAATTAATTCAAAGCTCACTAAAATCGATTTCATCGACCACAAATTAGACCAGGATCCATTCCCAATAAGAATCGTGTCATCCGCATATTGCAGTAAGTTGTGCGCCACTCCATTATCTAACTTGAATTCTTGAAAATAATTTGTACAAACTGCCATCCTAACAAAAATAGTCAAACCTTCCGCAACAATTGTAAAAAGAACGATTACACTTAAGAGGCGTTGTTATGAACATGGTTTTGCTACTAAAAAAACAAAGAACCTTTACACTGAAAGATGCTAACAAATCTAAAACTAACTTTTTCATTCATTTCATTGATGATAACTACATTCACCAATTACCTATTTATAACATTGTCTTAAACTAATTAGTCACTATTTAGATCCTTCTAAAGGGTTGTGATTATCACCATTAAATTCCTAAATCCTTCTAAAGAGTAGTAACTCACTATCTTAGATCATCACATTCCACCAATCTTTAAAAACAATCTTGTCCTCAAGGTTGTGAAGATTGCTCCTACAACAAATTTTCGTCTCGGATCTCATTGCTTAAAATTGAAGAACCAAGCTTTTGAGCACATCTTCAAACTGGCCACCAGGATCCCATTGCTTGATGTGATAAGATTTTCCCATTGTAGACACACCCAAATTTTGACCATATATCCCATTGCCATTTCCCAATCTCGAGTGATTGAATGAAAATGTGTAGGAGACTTTGGTGCACCAATTATGAGAAAAAATGAGAAGCATTTTCCTATTGCAAAACATTTTCAATTCCACCCATTTAGCAACAATGTAATAGTTCCTAGTGAGAACAAAAACATCACAATTTTTGTATTAGAGTTTGGCTTAACACAACCTTACAAAACTAATTTGTAAGGTGAGGGGTGCTACTCTATATAAACACATGTTCATGTCATATATTGTCCGATGTGGGACTCTTAGCATCTTGAAATTACTTAGAAGGCGGTGAACCCAATCACAATAACGATTACTAATACTACTTCTCATTTTAGAACTCTTCCTGCTATAGCCATTATATGTGTTGTCTTTCTGATATAGACTCCAAACAAGCTCTGTGAAAAACTAGTCTCTCATAGAAGCCGAAGGCCTTAACAAACGAGCCACTTGAAAATTGTGATCCCTTTGTTTCTCTTATAAGATTCAGTACATGCCTTAACGATTATGCAACGTTTCTCTTTTCATGAATCACACATGAGATGAAAACAAGGAAAATATAAGCTTTCAAACTCAACTCATCCACCCAATTGATTGTTACCTCGCCCCATAGAAATAAATAAGGGTGTGTATAGATTATAAAGCAAACCAAACCATGGTTTGGTTTGGATCTTAAAATCATTTATATAAAATCGGTTTATTTTTTTAAAACTGGTTTACAAGTGAATTGGTTCGGTTTCAAATCGGTTTAAAAAAAACAGTTTTTTTTAAAACCAGTTTTAAAACGGTTTCTCTCAAAACCAATTTTTTTTATTTTTTTTAAAGAAATTAGTTTTAAAATCAATTTTATAGAAAAAACCAATTTTAAAACCAATTTTTTTAAAAAAATCAATTTGTTTATACCTATGAAACTATTCATTGAAACATGATTACTAAATCAATGAAATTATAAAAAAAAAAACCACCGTTTACCTCTTCACTTTTATATCTCAATAAATAAATATTAAAATAATAAAATATTTTTTTTCTTTGTTTTGTAATCCTAGGAATGAAATGGTGGTATAAGTTAAACATTTTATATATTATTGTCAATTAAGTCATTTCAGTACTGTACGACTATTAAATTTAATATATTAAACTGATAAATATAATTTTATGCAGGAATATTAATTACAGGCGTACATAAATTCTTTGTTCGCTTAAAAAATTTTAATTACTAAACTATTTAACGAAAAATTTGTAATGCCCCAAAAATTTGAATTTTATGGTGATTATGATAAAAGTTAGGTGTTTTAATAATTTAGTAGTTATAAAACAAAAACTTTTGTTATCGACTTAATTTAGTCTACCTTTTAAAGTGTAAGGACCTAATTTGAATTTTGTTATGTAACAAAGACTTTTTAGTAAATAATATATATATTTTTTATAATTTCTTTTTAACCGATCTTGTTTTATTATTTTTATAAATTTTGATAACAAATTCAATTGTAAAATGTTTTTACAAAAATATATTAAATTAAAGTATAAGTAATTTATTTTAAAAATCAGATCTATTATAAATGTTTGAGAATGTAAAATGTTTCAGAGATATAAACAAATTCTTATTCATTTTATTATATTTAGTTTTTTTTAATCTAGTCTTCCTAAACTATTCATTGAAAAATTGTACCAAATTTCAATTCGGTTTGAAATAAATGGTTATCGATTTTTTTTTAATTTGATAAATGGGTCACCAAATTTAAAATATAAATTTGGTTTGGATTTTAAAATTTTTAATTAATTTAAATAGGAATTTGATTTATGGTTATTGGTTATTTTGCACACCCCTATAAAAACACAAAAAAATCAGATTCTAAATTCAACTTCTCAATAAGACACGTACTACTAACATTCCCGCAAATAATGAAATTGAAAGTCAAAATATGAATAAGGAAAAAAAAGCCCTTGATTCAAAACCACAGTAGATTGTATAACCAATCGATTCTCAAAAAATTATAGGATCAAGCCCTTGATTCTCTAACTGAGAAAAAATATGATGGTCTCGGAGACACAAAATTGATTGCACAATGTACTTTAGGTGGCTGGAGATGGTGATGATTTAATGGATATTCTTTTTTATCCCATGGTTGAAACTTGAATGAAAGCAGTCGGTGACTGTAACATCATCCGTGAGTGGGGGGACCATTTATTCCTAGGCTGAATACTTGGAAACAAATTGAATATGAGATGGATTGAATATGAGATGAAGAAATACTTGCATCTCAACGCACTTAGGCTATATCTATATTGTTAGAAACAATCAATTAAAAAAAAGGAAAAAATTAATTTCGTTTTAAATTGGAATCATAAAGTGATAGTTATGATAGTTATTTGGAAAGAGATAGAAAAAATTATTTTTATTTTTTAATTAATAAAAAAATTATGATTGGTTGTTTCTACATATACATGTTATGTTCGTTTATACACAAATATTTGTGTGAGATGAAATAAAAAATTGGTGAACACTTTGATACTCTTGAATTCAGTTGAGTATTGAACCTTGATCCAATGAAATATTTACAATCAATGCCATGCCATTTTTTATATATTTTTTATTTAAAAGTAAATTAATTTACGCTATAGGTACCGTACCCAACTACTTATCATGAGTACCTAAGAATTTGCCTAATTTTTTTTTAACATGACACGTGACGCACACTGATTGGGGGACATGTAGTCACACAAATTGTGCTTTTAACAAACAGGTGACGTTTATTCTGGTGAGAGAGATGTTGATATAATGGTGAGCAATAACTCAATTTTGTTAAGGGAATAAAGACTGGTGACAAAAAGGACAGAAAAATTTCATATCGTGGTTTAGATGAAATGGAGAAAAAATCTTCATACGGTGGTTTCAATGGTGGTAACTGAAATGAAACTATATATGGCTTTTTCAATGGTGGTTCCGACGATGGTGATTGATACGAAAATATATCTAGTGGTTTCAATGGCGTTTTTGGAGGTGGTGAAAAGACAAGTCTATGTTTAGTGGTTTCAGGGGTCGTGGTGATACAGGAGGTTGATCAAAGATCGATGTCGGTGGTGGCTCCGGTGAAATGGTGAAATCAACATCGTTGTGAAAATCTCTAATGTTGCAATCAGGCCTAATGATAGGAATAGTTACCATAATTTCTACACTGGTCAGGAATGTCACTGGAGAAGGCAGGTGAATTTGTGTATGCTTCATAATAGGTGACAGGTTAAGGACTCTTTGGTTAGAAATTAATTTTTTTGGATCGGTGACAAAATCTTCAATAACATAAAATTCCTTGGCTCATCTCATTGAAGCACATCTCGTCTAAGAAAATGTAGTGAATTTTATCGGAGAAATTCTTTGTAAACCATGATTTTCTATTTCTTTTCTTTCTTCTCATGTTTCTTTTGCAGTTGATGTTCGATATAGTGATGAATCAAGTTGTTTTGGTGGCTGATTTTAAGGAAATTGTGTGTGTGTGTGTGTGTGTGTGTGTGTGTGTGTGTGTGTGTATCACCATGGATTTGGTGTGGGGTGGTGAGGTTGAGGTTAAGGGGTGGAAATCTCATGAGGTTGAAGGAGGTGGAAATGACGGTGGTTTAAAGATGATAGGTAAGCATTAATAGAAGAAAGTGTGTTCACACAGTTGGACATTGTTAGGAGGAAAAGCTGTTGAGAATCCAAGATTTGTTGAATAAGGATTTGCTTAGGAAGTTCCCCAATCGGCCTCACTATGATACGTCTACCTTCAATTCGAATCCGAATTGAGATAGTGAAAATTAATCTTACTTTGAAAAAAGTGTATATACAAGATATGAAGAACTCTAACCCTACAAACATATGGTTTGTTGTTGATTTTACCACCTCTAAAACCCTTGATTAAAGATTGATCAAGTCACCAACAAGGTCGTTTCAATTCACCAATTCTTGCTACTTCCTTGCAAGGAACCACCTTGTCCCAAGGATTTCACATGGTCGAATTAATCCCAAGCGCTAACTTGTTGAAACACAAGATTTACCAACACGATCCACCGTCTCACGCCACTCCCTTGCAAGGAACCACCTTGTCTAAAGGCTTTCACTCGATCATATCTGAATAGCATAATCTTGTCAAAAACCTTCAAATCCTCAATGATCTTGAAGGAAAACTCCAACTTGGTTTTCTTATTTGAAACACTCAAAGAACTCAACCCAATATTCTCGTTACAATAACCTAATTGGACGTTATCAACCTATATCTAGATGGTCACCCAATCAAAAAATGAATATGTGAAGTTTGATTGTGTGTATGCATGAAAGAGAGGTTGAAGATGATTGGTATGCTTTGAGATTCTGGTTTCGTATAGGTTTTAACACTAGAACCTTACTAAAAAAATGATGCGTTTATCAGTATATGTATGTATGATAGATAAGAAGCCAAGAGCATTGTCGTATCTTGAAAAATAAGAATGACCTCATGAAGCACAAT